TTTTTTTTTTTTTTTTAAATCAGTATCTAACACTGGAACACTTTTCTACTTTGGAAGTAAAACCATCCTGGCTGTTGGACACAGACACCCCTCTCTTGGCTTCCTGCAAATTACTGAAAACAAGTCTTTCCACTCCCACACTCGACCAACCAACCAAAGACTGGCCAGCTCATGCTGTACTCCCAGAACTTTGGGAGGCCAAGGTGGGAGGATTGCTTGAGCCCAGGAGGTCTTGCTGCAGCAAGCTGTGATTGCACCACTGTGCTCCAGCCTGGGTTACAGAGTGAGAGCCTGTCCTCCCAAAAAATAAAAAGATGTTTTGAAGAAGTACTTGTCTGATGTACTCGTAAAAAACAAAAGAAGGTCCTTGGTTAATGGCCCTGCCCCTCACTCCAAGGCTGTATTTGCTGTGCTCACTGTCTGGGCTCTAGTCCTGCTGCCTCCAGCTAACTCCTCCTTTACCTGGCTAACTCCTTTGTCTCTTTATTAATGCCACAAACATTTATTGAGCACCTACTGCATGCCAGATCTTGTTCTGGGAGCTGGGAATACAGCAGTAAACAAGATGGACAAGGCCCCATCCTTGAGGAGCTCACAGCTTGACATTCCTTCTCAAAGTGGTTAAGCCCCAGGATGCTAGAGCCTGACAGGTTGAGTTTGAATCCCAGCTCTGCCACTTAACTAGCTGTGGGCGAATGTTTAGCGCCTAGCACTGTAATAAATGTGAACTCAGCCTGGCACAGTGGTTCACCCATATAATCCCAGTAGTTTGGGAGGCTGAGGTGTGTGGGTCACTTGAGGCCAGTGGATCACTTGAGGCCAGGAGTTGGAGACCAGCCTGGCCAACATAGTGAAACCCCATCTCTACTGGAAATACAAACGTTAGCTGGGTATGGTGGCGGGCAGGATGAGGCAGGAGAATCTCTTGAATCCAGAAGACTGAGGTTGCAGTGAGCTGAGATCACGCCACTGCACTCCAGCCTGGGCCACAGAGTGAGACTGTCCCTGAGGTGCTCGCCATCATTCTCCAGATGTCAGTTGTCCCCTTTTCTTTTTTTTTTTTTTT